GAGGCAGAACCTGTGGATATCCCACAAGTCCCACGAGTGCCCTGGCGGGGGCTGACCAAACTTTTATATGGGAGAGATGCCGTGGGAGTGTGGTTTCTGCAGAAGGGTGAGGGAGGCTACCCAGGGCACTCCAGCTTCTGGATCAGCAGAAAGGAGCCTGACTGGAAGGCAGGGGCCCCATGGTTGTTTCACAGAAGGTTGCATGGAGGGCCCCCGACTGCTCCCCCTCCCCCAGCTTTCTTTCAGGTGTCTGTGCCTCTTGGTCAGTCCACTAGAACTGGGGAGGTGGGAATGGACACTGAGAGACCAGAAGGAGAATCAGGCCACCTGGCTGTCACCGTGGAGGTGTGGTCCTTGCGGGCACGCCAGTCTCAGCTGCAGCATGCAGCTCCCGGGGATCATGGGAACATGTCCCAGGCAGCACTTCTGACCTTCTCACATTGTGAGGGCTTTAGTCCCAACTCCTCTGGCAGGGGGACTTAGAGATGGCCCAGTCTACCCTAAGGTTCTCACGGGCTCCTGGAACTGTGGGCTTCCTTGGAAGCAGGTTCAGCCTGTTCTGAGATTCATGTGGTTTTCCTGGAATCAAGATTTGTTTTTGCTCATCGGTTGTATGTCCCTGTCCTACCACTCTGCTTGGGAGAAGGACTGTGGCCTGGGCAGCCCAGCTCCGTCCTCTGTGGGAAAGGACACACTCTAGCCTGCAAATAGCCAAGTGTGGCCAAAAATAACTCTGGCCTCAAAAAAGAACGTGGACAATTAAGTAGGGAACATTAGCATTGGCCAGCACTTTCTGCAGCATTTGCTTATTTGGAGGCAGGTGTTTCTGTCCTTGCTTGCAGACAAGGAAACTGAGGCCAGGAGAGGGGAAGTGACTCATCTGAAATTTTCCTGCATCTGACCAGGTCTTTGGTTACCTTGCTTCCTATGACATGGCTTGAACCTTCACATCTACTCCTACATTGATTCTCCTAGAGTATCCTGACTCTCTTCCACCAGACAAAACTCCTATTTATCCCTCAAAGCACAATTAATGCCGTGTCTTTTGGAAAGTCTTCCCTAACTCTTTGGCAGGCAGTTGAGCACTGGCAGAATTCTGCTTGGATCTTACCACAGTGGCTCAGAGCTACAGGCTCCTTGATGCCTGGAACTCCACCTCATTTGTTACTGTGTTCCCCAATGTCACCCCAAAGGTCATAGTGAGTGCTTAGGAAATGTTTGCCAACTGATTGACCAGTGGGCCATATGCATGGTAATGAGTTGACTGCTTTGTCCCTTACCTAATTTTTTTTTTTCATGGCAGCTTAAGAAATCAGCATTACCATGGCCATTTTACTGATGAGGAAGCAGAGGCTCAGGGAGGTGGGCCCATCTGAGAAAGGTTTAGGGCTGGTACTGGATTTTCTCCCAGCCCATGAGCCACATGGGTCGCTCTGGAGAGCCCATGGGACTGGCACCAGGCTTGGGTGGGACTTGGGGTTACCTGTATGTCTCTGGTGGCTCCCTGCCTGACACCCTGCATCCCCTCTGTGGGGTCATTCTTGTCTCCCAAGGGCTTTTACACAAACATGGTAAATTCCAGGCGCAGTGATGCCCTCCCAAGAGTACCATTGTCTCAGCAGGAATCTGGTAAGATGCCACCTGCAGACACATCACAAGGGACCCACAAGAACCAAGGCTCAGAGCACATGTGGCCTCAAGTCTGAGCTGTGGTATGGGCCCAGCTGTCTCAGGGTCATCCCGTTCAGGGGCCTTTGGCAAGGAGGGAGCTTCCCATGGGAGAGCATGGCTGGGAGAAGGCAGGGGAAGGATGGAGGTCTAGAGCTGTCATGGTGAAGGGAGAGAGGCAGGGTTTTGGCTCCAGCCCTAGAAGTCACTTGTTCCCATCTCATTGTCATCTGGGCCCACAAAGGCCCGGTGGTGGGGCAGGATGAGGGTGTTTTGGGAATGATGCCAGCCACCAGCAAGGGCAGAGGAAGGAAGGGAGAGAGAGAGCTGGGGGACATTGTGTCCCTCTGTCCCCTCTGATAGGTGAAAGAGGTCAGAGACCGCAGAAGGGCTCACCTCTCTCCATGGTGTGTGTCTGTTTATCTGTGTGCTGCATCCTTGCTGCCCGGCTTTGGGGCAAGTGCCAGCACTCTGTGGTTAGAAATTTTAGGTGCTGCTTATCAGGTCAATCAGCCCTCGGTGTGTTTTTCTCCCCTGCCCATGTAGTGGGCTCAACTGCTGCCAGGGCATGTGGTTCAGGGTAAGTGTCTGGCCTATTTGGGCTCACAGATGGTGAATGAGTCAAAAGGAGCTTGAGCATCCTGGAGGGGGAGGCAGTGTGTCAGGGACCCAAGCTCCCATAGAGCCCACTATCCTCTTCTGTCCCAGCCCCGCTGCTATTCTGGGGCAATTCCAGCAAGGAGTTACTGTCCTCGTGTCCCATTTCTCATGTTTACTGCCAGGAAAGTGACACTTGCTTGGTAGGGCATGCTGAGATAGCAGCTCTACCACTCACCAGGCAGAATGGAGGTTACTTCTTCTTGGAAGGGACAGTGCAAACACTGCCCAGTGGGGCATCAAGGCTGCAGGGAGCCCACATGTATACTCCTGGCTGGGGCCCAGCAAGTGACAGGCACCCGAGGCCACCACCATAGCAGCCCCTTTTAGCTGACCCTGCCTCTGCCCAGACACACAGCTTGGAAGAAGGAGTCGCTTTGAGCTGAGAGGCACGGTTTTCCTTTATATTCTAGAAGGAGAAACTGAGGCCAAGGGGGGTGTAGGCCTGCCTGGCTTCAGAGCCTGGCTGCTAAGTTCTTCCTGAATGATGGGAGCAAGCATGAGGGCTGCTGTTGGCTTCAGGATGCAGTGTGGTTACACAACTGGGCTGCTGTGCAGGAGCAGAAGCTGAGCTGACTATCACCAGGGAACAGCCCCTGCTACCTACTCAGGGCCACCATGCTGGTCTCTAACTTCTTCCATAGTTACATTGTGCTCATCCAGGAGCTCCCTGGCACTGCCTCCCCACCTCATCTCCCCTTGAAAAGGTACTGAGATAACATTCTCCAACATGAGCTCATCTTATAGGGCACAGTTAAGGAGGCTGAGGACTGCAGGGCAGGGGACCCAGGCTACTTGCTACAGCATGAGGCACTGACCATTGGGCTTTCCCATCTGCAATGTGGGCTTGGCTCTGTGCAAGGAAAGCATGCAGTAAAGATGTCCTCATTTGACCGAAGCTCAGACAGGTGAAGCTTATCCAGGCCACTGGGGAGATGAAAGAGGGATCATCCTTAACACCTTGGCCTGGCCTGCCCACTTTGAGCCGGTAGCCACTTCACCCAAGCTTGCCACCTGGCAGGTGGGGAGAGAAACCCAGAGGGAAGGGCTGCCTTACGGGGCGGCAAGACCAAGGCCTCGTCACGTGCATGTGGTGCCACTGATCTCTCAGGTGGGTTGGGAAATATGGTTCCTCTGAGATATCTTTTTGGTCTGTCCGCTCTGAGGCCAATGCTGCTTTCCATCTCCTCCAGTCCAGCAGCGCCACCTAGTGGTCTGAGGGCCACCTACCCCCCCCAACTGACACTCCCTGTGGGAAGTTTTGGGGCTCCCCCTAGATCACTTGCCACTGGTTGTGGCCAAATCAGGTAAGAGCCCAGGAATCCCACACCTAGGCTGGCGCACAGGAAATTCCTCAGCTCTTCCACACCCGCCCGGTGTGGGCCGGTGGAGGAGTGGGGGTTATCCTAAGGCACCGAAGGTCATGGTGCGTGTGGTTGTGTGCAAGCACTGCGCTCCGTTGGGAGACAGACTCTCAAACTGCACTCCATGCAGGGTAGGTGGAGGGCCTGGCAGATGAGTGAATGAACAAATGAATGAAATGTGAGGCTTTCCTGGGGGGCAACCTGTGCCTTGAAGTAGCTTGGATTAATCACTAACTGGCAGGAAGTCACACACACACATACACACACACACGCATGTGAACACATGCAGATCTATACCTCCACACACATGTATGCATACACATGTGCACAGACTCAGACACACCTGCATGCTTACTCACACTTGTACACACCCCCACCCTCACACTTAGTTCTTACACAGTAAGATAGAATCGATCTCCCCACTGGGCAAAGGAGAGAATCAAGGCTCAGGGAAGACACTTAATTCACTTGAGGTTGGAGAGGCTCTTGTGACTGAGGTTGGGAGTGTTGGGACCCGTCATACCCTGTCACCGGACTATACTCTGTTCCAGTTGTGTCCTGGCAGAAATGTGGTGACCTCTCTGTGACCTCCTGAGTTAGGATCTAGGGACTACCCTCAGATAGCCTTGGTTTTGTTCTAGAAAGGACAGATAAGGAAGGGGGACTTCCCAACAAAGCCCTCAGCTGACCACCAAGAGGGGGCATGATGGAGTGTAGGCAAGTACCAGGATGGTGGTGACTCTGGTGCTCCTAGCTCCCCAGAGTCTTTCCTTGAGCACCCCAGCTTCTGATGGTCAGTGTGTCATACTTGGTGACCAGTGATGCCTATGGACCCATCCGTATAACATACTGAAGACTTCCCTTAGCCAGGCAGTACTGCAAAGTTATCAGAATGCAAACCTGTTGTTGTGCATATGCGTGCCACACACATTGGCAGGTCCAGCTTGACCCTGGGGTCTGGCCCCCATGGTAGCCCTTGCTGGGCAGCTGGATAGGAGGGCATATGCCTGGGAGTCTGGTGACATCTTGGCATGTTGGAAAGTGCTGACACCTTCATTGGGCTCAAAGTTCAGTACAGGGCAGGTAAGGGTGTCCTTGCCCCCTGCCCAGAGAGAGCCTCAGGAAGCTGAGGTACAGAGCCTTGGGTGGTTTGGAAACAGCACTTTTCCCAAGCAAGTCCTTGTGCAGGGTCTGGGGACACAGGCGTGGCGGGCAAGGGTCACAGAAGGAGCAGGAGGCTCAGTGCACTGAGAGGTGCACCTCGTCCAGACTTTGTGTTTTGAATGAGAAACTGAGGCCCAGAAAAGGGGAGGGATATGGCTGAGGTCTGTGTTCAGGGGTCATGAAGTCCAGCAGCACTGGAGACTGGGTATGCAGCTCCCAGCTGCAGACAGCAAAGCCAGGGCTAGAGGCTTAGGGTCAGCAGGCTATGTTACAACTGAATCAGGGCAGTGTGCGTCCCTTCAGTGGGGTCTGTGACTTCAGTTTCTTCATCTGTGCAATGTAGTGAAGTGCCTGTGGCCCTGCCAGCCCATCTGAGGGGCACTCAATGTCCTGGAGGAGATCCTGTCTGGGACGAACCTTGGGGTGCATAGAGTGGCTGGGGCACACTCCGTCCTCTTGGAAGTCTTCCAGTAGTCCCAGTCTCTGCTCAGCCTTTGGTGTCCCTCAGCCCTGCTACTGGGCAACTGAGAGCCCAGCACTGAGCTCTGTGGGGAGGTTATCTTGAGGATGAGAAGGACTTGGGGACAAGAGAAGTTCACATATGCAGAGCCCCCAAGGGTCAGCGTAAGGTGGGATGCAGTGTGGAGGGCCCTGGGCCATATGGCCTGTTCTGTTCTAGAGTGCAGTGTGGAGGAATGACCTCATGGCAGGCAGCCCCAGAAGGGCAGGGACTGGTAGGGGGTGGTGCTGGATAGACTGGTAGGTGGTGGACTAGGTCTGATGTGAATGAGTTGTGATTCTCCCAGCATGCTAGGCTGGAGCCCAGTAGGGTCAGAGTCTGCTGAGGGCCAAAGGGTCCTGTGGAAATGGGGTGCATGCCACAGGTAGGGGCTGGGGAGGGTGGGAGCGCGTGGGAGGAGTCCCCTCCTCCTGTCTTTCCCCAGCCCCTGCTTTCCTCACATCCTCCTTTTTCCTGCCTCTGGATCCTGCCCTTGGCCCCACCCCTCCAGGTCAGATGGCCCTAGCTACCCTTCAGATTGACTGGCCAGCTTTCTGAGACTCTTATTGGGGTGGTCAGGGATATGGGATGGCCTTGATCCTGGAGCCAGGCAGGTAAAGTGGGGACTCAGTCCCTCCTGTTGGCTGACAGTAAGGGCCTGGGATTATCTTATCAGGGTTCCCAGGTGAACTGGGCACATAGACCAGAGGGTGGTTAGGTGTGAGCAGGCATCTGATGTCTTCATTTCATCCACAGGGTCCTCTATGTCCACCACCCCTGCTTCCTAGCCCCTAACCAGGGTATGAATGGGAGTGCAGGGAGCCTTTCTATGCATGCGTAGCCTCCCAAGAGGTAATATTGGGGTGCAGGAGCCCCAGAAATCACAACTCTACTAGGACATGAGAGTCAGGGTGTCCCCCAGGCTTCCCAGGAGGTGTCCTTGAGCATAGGGAAGGCCAAGGCCAGAGTCTAGAACTTGCCACAGCCAGGCTCCAGGCATCCAGTTTTGACAGGCTCCAGCCCTGCCTTGGTGTCCAGGCCTCCAGGAAGCCAGGGTGGGCGCCCAAGGTGATATTTCCTGCTATTAATGGTGTTTAATCTAAACAAGGCCTAATATTTACCGGCAGACGCCTCCGGCCTCCGCGGTGCCAGACAGGGAGAGTGATGAGTGCGTGCAGCCACCCCACCCAGCGCTTCCCTGCTGAGGCCAGAGCTAGCTGTGCGCGGGACTGGAGCTGGACACCAGGAGGCCCGAGTGGAGCCCTCTAGTGCCAGCTCTGAATTCTGTGTTTCCATCTGTGAAATGGTGACAGCCTGATGACTCACAGCACTTAAGAGGCCCATTTGGGGGCTGCTCCTCCTCCCAGACCAGACCTCTTGGGGATCTGACTGGTCATCATGGGCACTGGGTGCCTGCCCCACCTCTGTGTCCCTTCCCTTGGTTGGTCAGCTTGGGACTAGGATTGAGGAGGAACAACATTCTGCGGAACACTGGGTAGACAGAGAGGGTGGCACCCAGGCCCCCCAGCTTGGTACCCCACACTGACCCCTGCCTAACAGACTGGGAGCCAAGTTGTGGGCACAGGGCATAAACAGCGTTAATTCAGGACGAGTATTTCTCCTTATGGGGAGTGTTTACATCAGATATAAATACACCATTTCACATCGTTCTGGCTCTCTGAAAATCCAGGAATGGAGCACGCATTGGGGGACACACAGACCTCCTTGCCTGGCCTGAGCAACCAAGGACAGGCATGGCTGGACCTGCCAGGCTCTGGAGAAGCATAGGGAATGGGGAAACTGAGGCCAGCCTATCAAGTTTGCAAACTCAGGACTATCTGAGCAGTCAGAGGTCCGAGGATGGTGAGGATGGCCTGAGGCCTTGCCCTTTGACCCCAGAAGGCAGGTAGCCTGTCCTGTGAACTGCAGTGGGAACTATCCTCTCCGCTGGCACATTCCAGACTCTTGCAGTCTGAGAACCTGCAAGGCCCCAAGAACCCCAGACTGAGTGGATGCATTTCAGATGTGGGGACATGAGAAGGATTTAGCTCATACATATCAGCGACTTCCTCCTCCTAAAAGAGGCTATTCTGGAAAAATCAAACCCCTTCCAACTCTAATCAGAGCAGTCCGCTAATGTCAGCTGTTCATTGATTAGTGTAAATGAGAGTGATAACCAGAGAGGGAATAAGATTGGGGCGGCTGTGAAAAGGGTGGAAAAAAAAAAAAACAGGAAGAACAGCAGGGGGCCAATGGGGCCCAGAGCACTGGCATAAGAGGGAGGATGGGCTATGAGAGAAAGGGGGCCACAAACTCATGTGGCAAATTAAGTGGGCTGGTGTGGTCCCTTTCCTAGCCCCCAGGGAGGTAGACCTCGCCCACCTTGGCCCAGGTTGTTCTCCCATCTGACCATTCCTTCCCACCAACCTCTGGCTCCCCACAGCCATGCCCAGTGAGGGGTCCTCATGGTATCGTGGGGTAATCAAGGTTGGGGTCTCATGACCCAGGTCACATGACTTAGGTGGGCACCAAGAAACCCACTGCAGAATCTGGGACCACGAAGGACCCCTGAGATGGAGCATGAAAATAAATGGAGTCCAGCACCCCTGACCCTGAATGACAATGCTGGGGACACGGGAAGTATCAGCCATGCAGAGGCCCACCACTTGACCCCTACTTTCTCTCTCCTCTGGTTGGGTGAATGCCTGCTAGGGGTGGCTCAAAGGCACTCTGTCAGAGCCCACAATACAGGGACTCCCCAGCCAGCAGCACTTTTCTGTAGATGACCTAGCCCAGCTACCCACTGGCCCAAGAGCTAGGATCCCCCTGTCCTGTGGAGCTCTGGGTTGGAATGAGATGCCTTGGAGCAGGTGGCTGGGGCTGCATCCAGCGAGCATCAGGACGATGATGATGATAACCATGCCCATTGCTTCTTAGGCAGCTAGGCCAGGAAGTCATCCCACCAGAGTCCTGGCTCCTCTGTATCCTGGCTGGCATCTCAACTGGGAGACTATGAGTTCACATCCTCCCACCTGGTCACCTCACAAAGTCCTTAAGCCAGAGGGCCCCAGTCAGGGTCAGTGGGAACAGTGTTGTCTTGGAAGGCCAGGTACTCTGACTGTTACCTTGGCAAAACCTGTCTCCTCTAAACCTCAGTATCCTTGTCTATAAAATGGGGTATAAAAGCCTTCTTGCTTCCCACCCTACCCTTCTCTGGGACCCTGAATTTGGAGATGGGAACTTTGCTGGGATCTGACTTCCCACACTTCCCACTCCCAGCCACACAGGGAACTAGCCAGATGAGCATGGAATCCTTTTCTCAGGAGACCAGGGCCCAGTCTGGGGCCTGGTTCCATCTCACCTGCTTCAGTGGCCAAGTTCAAGGGTAGAGATGCCCAGAATGCCTCTTGTTCACCCCAACCCCTACCAGTCTGGAGAGGCCCCTGGGGTTCTGATCCTCCATGGAAAACACTCAAGGAAATCCTGGAGTCCAGCCCAGAAGAGGCAGTCAAAGATCCATGCCAGAAAAATGTCTTCCCATTGAAGGTATTTCGAGACATGTTGACCCAGATCAGATCATCTGGGCCAGTTGCTGGTATTCTTGGAGAAAACAGTAAAGGGAATATGGTGGCTCTCAGCTGGTAGGTCAAGTTTGAGTGTCCGTGTACCTTTGTTTCCTTTTTCCTTGTCCAGCAAGATGTGGACTCTGGTGTCCTCCCAGCAGTCAGGGTGTTCTGAGTTCTCTCCAGGGTGGAGATTTTGGGAAGCTCTGAGAATATCCATGAAGGAGGAGCTGGGGCATCAGAGGCAGTGGGGCTGGGTTACGATTCTGATTCTGGATTCTGACTCTGCCATTGCCCAGCATTGGCACCTGCGCATGTCACTGACCCCTACCCAGCATCAAGCAGTGGACGGGAATCTTCTCCCCTTTGAGGGATGGCTGTAAATCCAGTGTCAGTCCAGAAAGCCAAGGCTGAGTTCATGGCCCAGCCCCTGTGAGCATCTTCCTGGGTAACTGAGCGATGCCTGGGGCTGGCGGGGCACCTGGCAGAGTTGAGTCTCTTCCCTCCTTGCATGCAGCACTGTGTCCATGATAATTCTGTCTTTGTTATCCACCTGTGTGTATATAGTTTTCTGCAGGTTTTGTTTTGAACTCTCCTGGGCACTCCAGTACCTAAATCATCTTGGTTGCTTTGTCTGAGCTCTTCTTTCTGGGGACAGGATGGCCCAAGTAAGGACCAGCTCCTGACTACCATTCTAAATTTTCAGTGGACACAGTGTTCCTCCATGGATGACAGGTAACTGGCATTGAGACCATTACACCCCATCTTGTGCCTTGGAAGACATCACTAATTGACCACAGCACAGTAGTCTTAGAATCTTAGCACACTGGACTCAGGAGCCATCGATCAGGATGAAACCAGTTAGTTGCCCCTGCTCAGAAGCCAGTGTCTAGCTGGCCAACTGCTCATGGCTCTGACCTTTGGCTCCTTGTGGATACTGTTGCCTAAGGCTCAGGTCCATTAGCCAGGGCCTGGGCAAGAGCCCGTGGCCCAGCACTAAAGATGTGATGGGGGACTAAGCCCTTGGAGCTCTTTTGCATGACAACCATGTTGCCACTGGTCTCATACTCTGCTCCATGCCTGTGGAAGAGGCCTCGAACGGTAGCCTGGAAGCTGCTGGTGACGAAGCAATAGACGATGGGGTCCATGCAGCTGTTGAGGCTGCTGAGGGTCACAGCCACATGGTAGATCACAAGGCTTGAGTGGTGAGGCAGGTTGGGCCACAGTGCTATGGCCACCTGGCGGGCATGGAAGGGAGTGAAGCATACGAGGAAGATCACGAGCACCGTGAGCAGCAGCTGCATGGCCCGCACTCGGCGCTGGCGGCCCTGGCGCAGCAGGCCAGGCCGTGACAGTGCACATACAATGCGGCCCGTGAACACACTGATGACCAGCAGTGGCAGCAGGAACTCCAGGACGGTCAGTGCAAAGATACGGCAGCAAGGCTGCCCTCCAGTCGTCACTCCCAGCACTGACAGGGTCACAGCACCAGCTGCCAGCCACACAAAAGTGCACACAGCCCTGGCGCAGGCTGGCTGGCGCCAGCGGCGGGAACCATCAGGCTGTACTATGGCCAGGTAGCGGTCCACACATATGCAGGTGAGGAAGAGGATGGAGCAGTGCATGTTAAGGAAGTAACCAAGGACATGGGGAAAGGCACAGCGGAGGCAGCCGCGTGCACTATAGAAGACCACGAAGCGTGTGGGCAGGGACAGGCCCACCAGCAGGTCAGTGACCACCAGGTTGATGGTATAGATAACTGAAGGTGTCTTGGCTTGGGTGCGGCAACAGAATACATACAGCGCCAGCCCGTTGAGCACCAGCCCCACTAGAAAAATGACACTGTGCACGACCATCAGTGCCAGCCACAGGCCTGGGAAGGTGCTGTACAGTTCCTCGTCCAGCCGGGCGAACAGGTAAAACAGGGCCTCCTCTGGCACGCTGGCGTTGGTCCATGCTGCCACTGTGGTGGTGTTGGGGGCGGTCATAGTCCAGGGATCTGCTGGAGACTCAGAGGGCATGGTGCTGAACATGTGACTGGGGCCTAGAACCAAGGAGGAGACAGGGTTATCCATGGAGCATCTGGGTCTGCTTGCGGCCAAGGTCCCATCAGGTTCATCTGCTTGCTGTGTTCCCCAGCGACCCTATCCTAATGGCTTTGCCTCACCCAGCCTGATGCCACTATCTCCACGCCCGTGGACCTGCCACTCACAGGGTGCAGCTTTGGCAAATGCTAAAGCTTCTGAGACTGTCCTTGCTGGACAGGTGAATGCATTTGTTGCTGAAAGCTGAAGACAAATGCAAGACACAGGGCTCAAGCGTGTGGATGCAGGGCCTGCCTCCAATCCTGACTTCCACTTAGTCAATGCATCCTCCGGCAAGTCACTTAACTGCTCCATACCTTGCTTCCTAATCCATTATTATTATTATTATTATTATTATTATTATTATTATTAGAGAGAGGGTCTCACAATGTATTTCAGGCTGGCTTAAACTCACTATGTAGCCCAGGCAGGCCTCTAACTCATGACAGTCTCTCTGTCTCAGTGTCTTGGGTGCTGGGATTACAGGTGTGCACCCCCACACCTGGCCTTTGTTTTCTAACCTATATCACTGGGATTCCCTTGCTACTGGGAAGATTACCTGATCAGGCCTGGATCAAGGGCAAGGCAGCACCTGGCATATATGTAGGTGATAGCTGATAAGCCAGTTTTGCTGGGAAAAGTGGCCCACCAAGACCTCCAAAATGTCTCTCCCATCTGTGCCCCACCTCCACTGCCATGCCCCCTTTCTCCAGAGGCCTGTATGCTCTCACCTGCTCCCAGGCCAGCTCAGGTCCACACCTTGGACCTTCTCGGGGGTTAGTATGCTCAGCATGGCTGGGTAGGGGCTGAAATCCAGTCCCCAGGTCCCCACTAGCTAGGCTATCTCCCCAGCTCTAGGTAGCTTGAGGGGCCAGATCCTGGAGTCAGATCGAAGCAGCAGGCAGCTAGTGTGAGTCAAATAAACATCGTGTTCTTAGCGGGGGCGGTAGGGACCAGGGCGGGCAGGGGCTGGGCTGGAGCTGCCCACTCTGTTTATGTTTCTGCCGAGGAGTGTTTAACTCAGCTCTGATTTATCCCTTTATTTATAAATGAAGGGTTAATGGGGTCCTACCCCACCATGAGCTGGTCTGACCCTCCAAATAAGGACATTTCTAGCCCTTTCAGGAGAAAGGAAAAAGCTCTGGGGGGAGGCAGGGAGAAGGGGTGGGCATGCGGGACACTGTGGGTGCCCAGTGCCCCTACCCTCCTGCAGAAGAAAAGAAGGCCCTCCCACTGTCTCCCTTCCTGTGTCCCTCCTTGTGGTTGTTGCCATAAACAGGCTGGACACTGCCCACTCCCAGGAACTGGCTGCAGGGCCCTGGACAGCAGGTCTGCCATTCCATTCTGGAACAAGATGCTGTGCCTTGCCTCCTGGGGTTCTGGGGACCAATGACCAGCTTAGCAGCAGGTGGGTGCAGTAAAGGATGCTGGTTTGGGGAGGGTATGGTGTGGGAGGAAGGTGTCTGGAAGAACACCTTTACTCTCAGGCTCAGAGAGGTTGGCACCTACCTGAGGTTACCCAGCATGCCTCTGGAACTCTTTGCCCTGGATATCTGCCATTCTGGGCTGCTGGGAAGAATCTGGGCTGCCCAGGCCTGCATCCTGCCCTGCTGCTGTCCCCATACATGTGGTGGGATCTGAAGGATGGGGAGTTTGGGGCAGGAAAAGATGTTGTGCAGGTGTGGAGCCTGGGAGCTTGGCACCTCAGGGCTGTGGGCTTGACCTTCCACAATAGGGAGGCCTGAGGGTTCCAGAAAGGAGGGGGGGACCATGCAGCATGTCTGCCTCTAGCACTGATGGAGTGCTGGAAGGAAAGACCCAACAACCGAGGGATGCCATGGTAAAAGGGCCTTTAGTGTACCCTTCTACATGCATTTTGGCTTTCTAGTTTGTCTGTACTGGGCTGGAATTAGTGTCACAACCAGAGACAAATAAACATCACTGGATGTTTCCTCTGGGAGCCAGTCTCAGGATGACGTGGGCCCCAGGGTCCTGCTCTTCCAGGAAATTCCCCAAGGCCACTTTGCCTGCCACCCAGAAGTGCCATTGAGAAGCCGGAGACATGGGGGAATCTAAAACCTCCAGACTCAGGGAACAGACCACAGACACCCCAGAGTCAGACAGCTGAGGAGAGAGAGGGCAAAGCACATGTGTTGATTCAGAGTAGAAACCCAGGTCTCACACAAAGGCTAAGCCCTGATCTTGGTGACATGGAGCCACAGCTTGATGAATCTCAATCTCTGTGACACTCAACCCTTGACCTGGTCATGCACTAAGCCCTGACACAAGTCACACAGAATCCTGGTTGCACATGGACTCAGCCACGCTGGGTTCATAGACTTCACCAGCTCAGGCTTTTTCTCTGCCTGTCCCCACTTGGACACTTCCCTGCAATGGGCATGCAAGGCCCAGTCAGAGGGGGTGCCCAGAGGCAGGGAATGAGAGCACAGCCATCAGGAATTCGGCTCCCAGTCTTGGTTGTAGTTCAGTAGCACAGCACTTGCCTAACACGTGCAGAGACCCTGGCTTCCATTCCCAGCACTGCAAAGCAATAACAAACCCTGACTCTTTTCTGGATTGCCCCATCCAATCCTGTCTGAGCCTCAGTTTCCTCATCTATAAAGTGGACAAAGTAGACTATGCCAAGGGATTTACTGGTGCATGGTCAAGCACATGATAGGTGCTTAGAAACAGGAAACCAGGCAATGAGGAGACGGCTGCAGGCTAAGTGGCCCGAGGCTGAGGGATGAGTTCTGCGGGAGAGGCCTGGATGGGCTCAGCAGGACAGCAGCTTCCAGCCCGAGGGGCCCTTGCCAGCCTCCTTCCTAGGTTCCTGGAGCCGCTGGTGCTGACTGGCCTTGGCCTGATCCTCCCAGAGCCTCAGTCCCCCGTCCTGGCTGAGGACATCAGATCCTACTGCCCCACAGGGCTGTCGGGCCTCAGTGGGACCAAGGCCTGGGTCAAGTGCAGATAGGTAATACGGCTGGGCTCTGCCACCCTGCCCTGCCCCCTTGGGGAAATCAGAGCCCCACAAGCCACAGGTCTTTTAAGCTTCTAGGTGCCTTTTAGGAGGACATGAAGATGAAGGGTAGTGCCCCCAACATCCCAGAGCCCTACAGCCATCTTCAGATCAGAGCTCCACGGTAAGGTTCCCCTCTGGAGCACTGTGTGTTCCCACTTCCATGCCTCTGCCCAGGCTGCTTCCTGTCCAACTTTCCTGGTATGGCTCCTGCCTTTTACTACCTCTCCTCCTCATCCTCAGAGGCCTTCCCCTTCCTGCCCCGACGGTAGGTTACCGCTCCCTGCTGCCCTTTCCAGAGTGCTCCCCCCACCTCAGGGCAGCCCCCACTGCTGGGTACTGCAGCCCTCCCGGCAGAGTATGGGTGTCCATGGGAGCGCACCTGTAATCCCCAGCACCCAGGAGGCTGAGATGGGAGAACTGCAGAGTCTGAGGACAGCCCAGGCTATGTAGTTAACTTGGGGCCAACCTGAACTGCACGATGAGACCTTGTCTAAAGAAGAGAAAGAAAGAAAATTAAAAAGAACGTGGGCATCTTGGGCTGTGGGCTGAGGTAGGGTGGGTAGGGCTCTTGCCTGTTCTTTTTCTTTTGCCTCTGTACCCCAGGATGACCCAGAAACCTGAGTGAAACCCACCAGTGCTGCCAGGGTGAGGCCTGGTGTCTTACCTGGCAACAGTGTGAGAGTCGTAGCCCCAGTCCCCTCCCTGGCCCACCCAGTCTCTCACCGAGGGTGAGGCAGGGGTCTGGAGTCACCTCATGCCCCAAGCTGCACCCTTATTACCCATCATGACTGTGCATGCCTACAGCCCAGCCCCTTGGTGGCAGTGGTTCTCTGCCATCCTCCTGCCCCCCAGGTAAGTCATTTCACCTGGCAGAGTCTCAGTTCTGTCCCTGGTGACTCTGTGGGTTGCATTTCTTGACTGACTAAATGAAACCCAGATGGGTAGATGAATCAGTGAGAAAGGGCCATGGATTCCCCCAGTGAGGTGTTAGGGGCTGCAGGTGCAGTTTGTACCTGCTCTAACCTGCCCACAGTGGAGGAGACTGGGTGTCCCCCTGGCTCAGTGCAGGATATTTCAGAGCCTTTATGAGGCCCATGAACCTGGGGGTCTTCCCCCCAGTTATTTGTCCCATACCTCTTTCCTGGGCCCTGTTCTATGCAGCCTGAAGGCCACATAACAGCTCTACCCCAGGCATGGATGCAGCCATCCCACTGCCCTTCTCAGTTCTCTGGTCTGCTGTGTGCCCACAGACCTAGGCACCTGCCCTAGGTCCCTGATCTGGATAAAGAGACCTTGGCAGGAGAGGAGGGCACCATCCAGCATCTCTGAGAGGTCTCACAGCTGCCCAGCAGCCTTGCAGGTGCCTCTTCCCAGAGTCTGGTCATCTCTGCCCTACTGCACACGGGACCAGGGGCCAGGACTTGGCCCCTGGGGGCTTAGGACTTGGCATGCTACCTACAGCTTGGTAGCAGAACTAAGTGTGGAGGGTAGGCAGAGTGAACTTCCAAGGCTTTCCCTGCTGAGAGCTTCAAGTTCCTGCCAAGGGCCTTCTCCTGTGGGTCATTTTGCACTTATATGACAGTTGAAAAGCCAGAGACCCAGCGATCTGAGACATGTGCCCAAGGTCCCTTAGCACACAACTGGTAGACCTGGGACTCAAAGCCAGGTTGGGCAGGATCAGGCACACATAGGCTGGGGTAGAAGGAAACCAGGACTGTGGCTTCTCTGGACCAGGAGTGATGACCTTCATGGCCTTCCAGAGCCAAAATGGCTACTACTGGGGTCACCCTCTGCCTGTTAATTTTTACAATTATTCTTGGTTTCATGACATCTGCTTTGGAAACATTGCCTGCTATTTTGGGTTGATCTGAGCCTCTTGCTTGTTTTACTCATGCACTGGACTCTACTCAACACTCCAAAAGGAGTTAATCTTGCCCTAGGTCACTTGGAAGGTCCCAGGGGCACTGGCTGGAAGTTAAGTGCTCCTTGCCCCCAGCTCATGGAAAGGTAACCTCTCTCAAGTGTGGAGTGAACACTGGAGGAGGGCTCTGGGCTCTATCTTGTTACTGTCACTATCTGAGACACTTTCAGCTTTGCAGGTCTCAGCTGTGACAGAAGTGCCATGTGTTTCTGGAGTAGAAGGAACCAGCAGTGGGCAGGGTCGTGGTCTCTCTGGACTAGGAGTTTGCAGGGATTCTCGTGGTGGCATGCGATGTTTGCACGCCTGCAGGTCCCCAGTCAGTGCCTCCCTGTTGCCTGGTTCACTACCCTCCACTAGCCCAGGTACAATAGCTGCAGAAGCCCCTGCCAGACAGGGGTTCCTTGGTAAGTGCCAACTGGCAGTTTCCTGGGGCTTCCAAGACCCTCAGGCTGGCACACAGGCCTTTGCACTGTTCCCTCTGCCCAGGTCACATGATGTAGGCTCCTGGACTCACAGTCCTCCCCCACAGAAGCCTCTTCAGCCTCCTGAGACCTGAGCTCCTCTCCTGGGGGAGAACTATAAGCCCTTAACTGTGGGACTCTGCTGGGGCCCTTCCAGGGTTCTCAATGCTTCCGAGGTGCCTCCAGGAGAGTGTGGCAGGCCCTATCCTGGCAGTGAGGAAATTCAGGCATGGAGGGGTTAGGTTGCATTCTCCGAGCCACCAAACTGTAGGAAGAGCTGGGTTTGAGAGCTCTTCTGTCTTGCTGCTACTGCCAACTCCGCTCAGGGAGGACCCAGTAGGTCCTCCTGTTTGTGTCCGGCAGGGAACTTACTCTGAACTTACTCTAACAGGCTGGGACAGGGTGTTTGCCTCAAGCTTCTGTGGCTGGGACACAGTGGTATTAATAATGTGTCTGGAGGAGCAAGTGTCCAAAACCTGGACTGGAGTCTCAGCAATGGGAGTCCAAAGGGACCCAGACAGGCCTAGCCCCTCCTACAGAGGGCACAGCTCGGGCACGTTGAGGAGAGAGCCAAGTAGGAAAGTTTCTCTAAGAGGGAAGAGCAGGGCTCAGCAGGCCACTGTCCTGGTGCAGGGGTGTGTTGGCTATACTTTCAGTGAGGCTCCCTCCCTGGGCTTATTGGCTCTGTCCTATCGGCTCCTCAGGCTGAGCGCCAGCTCTGCATGCTCAGGCTCCATTAACTGGCATGCTCCTGGCATAGCTAGAGTTCATGCTGTGCCCTCAACCCCTCTAGCTACACCACTGACTCTATACATCTTTGCTTTCCTGTTTTTCTCTCCCCAGCTGAACCAGTATCCTGGGTTTCCCCGCAGGGCACAGCCACCGGAAAGACAAAAAAATGAATGACTTGAAAAGCTACACTTGCCACTGGAAACTTATTTCCTCCTTTGTACATGCTGAAGCCCATCCAGTCCCACCAGGTTACTGGGACAAAAGGGGCGTCACCTCCTCAGCAGGGAGCAGATAACAGCTTTACCTGGGCACACTCCTCCTTCCCCCCAACTAAGAGAGAGCCAGAGAGTTGCTCCTGGCTATGTAGCCAGACAGACCTGGAGGGAAGGAGAGCCCCTGTGACCTGTCAAGGAAAGACTATAGGGCAAGAGGGCAAGTCCAGCCTCCTGCCTGCCTGAAGCCGCCCAGCTGCTCCAAGTCTGCCTCGCCAGGCACTCTGGCTACTGGCCAGTTCCCATCTCGTCTGACCCTCTCGGGACCCTGGTCCTGCTGCCTTCTCACAGGGCTGCTAGCCAGGCAGTGCCAGTTGTGGGGTCTGAGCTGGGGGTTGAGCAGGCAACTGTCAGTTTCCCTACCCCTAAAAGGGCAGGGGAAAGGCCAGGGCTGGACAGGGGTCCTGGGCTGGGGGTGGCAGGACTGGCTTTCCATGGGAAGTCCCCATAGATCCCACAAACCCTGGAGTCCTAGCCCTGCCCCATCCTGGAGGATGAGAAAGCTGTGATCCCAGAGCATACCAAGTGTCTCTGGGGTCCCCCAACTCCCTCCCAGCCAAGCCTCAAGGGCCATCCCACTGCCTTGACAGGTGGGGAAACAGCCCAGTTTGAGCCCCATCACAAGTGCAAAGTGAATAAATTAAACAGAGTTGGGAGATGTCCAGCAGCCTGGGAAGTGGACAGCCCCTCCACTCCAGGGCAGGGCAGAGGCTTCAGCACCCTTTCATGCAGCCTACCTGCTCTCAGGGGTCTCAGTTTCTCCACCTGTGCAATGACCATGGCAGGTGGGACAAGCTTGTTTGCTGGGGCTGGGGACAGTTTCATGGTCCCTCTTCTCTCTGCCCCTCTAGGCAGAGAACAAGGCTGGGCAGCTGGGGCAAGGCCAGCCACAGGGAACTCACCGTGCCTTCGCCCTTCCCTTCGGGCGGCTGCTGCAGAAGGAGTGGCTCCCTCAGCTCTGAGCCTCCAGGGCTGACCCGCCTTCCAGGCGCTGACGTCAGACCGTGCTGGGGCTGCTTTTGGGCAAAGGCAGAGGGTGGGGGTGGGGTGGGGCCAGATGGGCTCTTTCCCCACCCCAACAGCCACAGGAGGAGCTGAGGCTTGGCTCAGAAGAAGAGCCTGGGGGACCAGAGTCCCTATGCTCCCCTGGGACAGAGAGGCACAGCATGGGGGGCAGGCACAGTCACACTCTCCAGACCAGGGATGGAGTGACACTCAGTCCCAAGATACAGGATGGGAGTGTGGGAGGGTGGCAGTGGGGATCCTGGAGCATCACTCACCTGTGTGTTGTGCAGGAGATGAGAGCAGCCAGGAGTTTAGTTTTTGCTGGGCAGGGATGTGTGTGGGGATCCCACCCCTTGTTGCTGTCCATGGAGCCCAGGCCTCTGTGCCCCTCCATGTAGATGAGGGTGATTGGGTGCTCAGAGCACAACTGGATGTGATGTAGCAAATGGTGGGCCAGTGGAGAGTATCAATGGGTTGCAGATGGGGTCACAGCTGGGAGGGACACTTCTCCCCAGCAGGCACCCTGACTGACCCTATGAGAGTGTTCAGCTGAGTTTGGGGTCAGGGTTGAGAGTGACTGGAGCTGAGGCTGGTGAAGGTTGACAAGGTGGCTCTTTCCTCTGCTAGGACCATCTTCCTGTCCTTCCTGTCGTTCACAGTCTACTCTGAACACCACTGGGTGCTCTGATGCTGGAGACCAGGGCTGTGCTCACAGCAGGCCTGGCACCCCAGAGCTCAGACAAGAGGAAGTATGAGGGAGTGAGGGCCTACCCCAGCCCTATGGGGAGGGGCATCATCAGGGAGGCTGTCCTGGGGAGTTGGAGGAAGTGTAACCTAGAAGGAGGGAGGGATGGAGGATGTTGAGTAGGGGACCTGTACATGCTGGGTCTAGGTAAGTACAGTCTCTCTGGGACTCGGGGGCAGGAAGCTGGGAGTGGGTGGACACTGCCACACTAGGCCTCAACAGTCCCTGAGGTATCAGTAATAGATTTGACCTTGTGGGTAGTAGGGGCTGTTGAATGTTCTGGAAGAGGTTCTCATCACTACCCTGCAGCTCACCACTTCTAAGCTGAGTTTACAGCTACATTATTTCCTTACAGCGTTGTTGTAACTGTCCAAGATGGGGAAACCGAGACCTAAAGGGATTTGGGTCACCCATGCACAGGGCAGCAGGGCCAAGGGGGTATGGGTTCAGTGTCATGGGGCTGGGGCTGGGGCTGGGGCTAGAGGCCAAGCTAGGGGAGCTCTCAGTTTATGAGCTGGCAAGGGTCGTAGAGGCACAGACAGGGCTGCTAGGCTTTGTGTTCATTGAGGGGCTCAGTCTCCTACACACCCAGTCTGGCTTTCACAGAAACCTCGATCCCAAATGCAAAGGATACCAGCAGATGCCCAGGGAGGGGACAGCCAGCTGGCCTCTAGGACCACCGTGGGATGGCAGGAACTGCTGGAGCCTACAAGGCTGGGGCTGGAGGCTCAGGGCAGATTTCTCCTGGTCTGCAGAGGACACAGGACACAGCAGTGATTCTCCAGGCTGTAGGTCAGGTCGGACTCTCTGGTTGGGGTCAGAGGTGAGATGGGGGTACCACATGGGACATAGACATTAGCAGCCTGGTCTGCTGGAGAACCCTGCCCAGACCACAGAAGTGCCCATTCCTTGGCGGGGCGGGGGGTGGGGAGCTTTATGTGTACTGTGTACATCAGGCAACTGGGGGACAGAGACAGAGGGAAGCAGCAACATCTAGACCACCCTGGTCAGGGCAGAGTGGCCTCCTGTGAGCTCCTGCCATACATCTGCCCTGTGAGGCCAGTTTGACCTCTGGTTTCAGTCCTTACTTTTGGCCCTGTCTTCAGTCTCGAGTCCCCAGTGACTCCAGAGCAGGTCTAAGGGGGTGTGTTCCCAAGAGGATAAGTCTGTGGGGCCCTCTGTCTTGTACTCCTGGAGTTGGAAATGCCATGGTGTAGATCTAAGGGTTCACAACCTTGCTATGTCAGTGTGGGGGTGCTGGAATGGCCGTATACCAGTTGGTTCAGGAGAGGGTGAAGGACCTTGGGGCCCCCAGACACCGGTGATGTTTAGCCTGACATTCTAGCCTTCAACAGTTCTGGGAACAAATGGGTGGAGGCTAACAGCTCTGGTTGTCAGCTAGGCCAACTGCCCAGGGCCCAGTGCCTAGGAAGGCAGGCACAGGCCAGCTGTGTGTGGGGGGCAGGACACCTGCCACTGGGGGTGCTGGAGCTGTGGCAAGGAAGGAAGGTTTGTGCAGAGCTTCCAAGTAGGGGCTTTTTCTCAAGTGTCCAGTGCCCATGTCCTCTTCTGCACTCAGATTTGCTGGCCAGTGGCCAGGTGGCACCCACCAAGGGGTCTTTGTCCTGCAGCAGCCCTGGGCTAAGATTGACTCCACCCGCCCTTTCTACTCTGTCCCCCCAGTGTCTCCACACAGCTGGAGACACCTTGCTTTTACTGGTGGTAGGAAAGGGGCACCCTATCACCTGCCCTGCCTTGTCACCTCTGACAATCTACAGGTGATAGGAATCAAGGAGAGAGGCTTGGAGGAAGCCAGGCCCACAGCAGGGAGCAGGGGCTACTTGAACCTGGGCCTATGGCCTCCATCATCAGGTCCAAGGCATGGGGCACAGGTGAAGGGGCTGAAGCAGAAAGGACAAGGTCCCTGGGGGAAATTGAGATAGCCTCTGTGGATGGGGAGGGCGGGCTGGGGTGTGTCCAGGTGTCTGTAGCCCACCTGGCCAGCTTTAGACTGGAACGTGGCCATGGCTGCCTGCTGGGGAGATTCCCAGGCACTTAGCACTGTGTCCATGCCAAGTTAGTGTTCCAGGCATGGAAGTTGGCTCTGGAGCTCTGGGGAATCATTCCATGGTGACTGTTGGAACCCCACTTGGAGATTTGTCCCTCTATGGCCTGGGATGCTCTCCCTGTCCCACTTATCCCTCAGAAGTCCCAGCAGAGTTCGTCCTGTTTTATCTTCTCTTGCAGATAGCAAAATTGATGCCCAGAGAGGGATGAAGACCCAAGGTAACACAGGGAATGGGGCACAGCAGATCCTGGGCTAGATGATAAATGGGACGAGAAGGCATCCCAGGCCTCATCAGAACCATAGAAGGACCTGTCCTGTGAGCGGCTCCTTTCCCAGGCCAGGATAGAGTTTAACAAGTCCCCATGTGGCCAGATGGTGTGGCTGCGGGTGCTGTTGGCCCCCCCTCCTCATGGGGCTCAGCGGGGGGTGGGGGGCACTGTGGGGAATGACCAGTGATGGGGCAAAAGGGCTTGGCCATGAGGATGAGAAGGGAAAGTCCCAGGTCTCCTGGGGGGCTTGCTGGAGGAAGTGGCCTGGCCTTTGGCCTGTTGGTTTCCCCTTGATCATACCAGTTCTGTCAGAGCTAAGGAGCCTGGGGTGAAGGTTGAAGGTGTGGGATGTGGACTTGGCTGGCCATCTGCTTTCCTGGGTCTCAGCCTGTAGATGGGACAGGAAGGCCTCTGGGAGGCATACCTTAACCAGAGAACCCTGAGGCCATCCAGCTGGGCCACTTTTTATAGATGGGGAAACAGATGGGGAAAGCTTCAGCTCCCTTAAGGCCCTGGCAGGACTCCCTCTGTGGCACCCACCAGCCAGGCTGCAGTGGGGGTGGGCACTCTTTCTCCTCCTGGTCCTTCAGTGCCATCAAGGCTCAGTGCAGAATATGCTGGGTGGGTCCCCAGAAAGGGAGGACAATGGGAGAATGGTGGCAATTTGACTGGGGACGTCTCATGTGGCCCATTCAGCTGGCTTTCCTTGCCTTATACACAGGAAGCTGCCTCTGTGGGGTCAGAGCTGGGCCAGGGTAATGCCTTCCCTGGGCCTTTTGTGCAGGTTCTGGCTGAGAGCCTGCTGCTGGGCAGGGATAGAAAACTGTGGTTATTGGGGACACCTGTCTAGGAGGGCTCTCTCTGCAGTGCAATTGCACAGTGGGCAAGGACCCACGGGATGGTGGCCCGCTGGATGGCAGTGGGAGTCTGCATGCCCACTACAACTAAGACATTGTAAGACAGAACAGGGATGGTGGGGAGATCCTGCTACAACGACTGTGGTCACTCAGCATGCCAGGACGAGAGAGGGTACCTTAGCTCTACCTTAGGCTCCATCTATGAAATGTGTCTTATGAGCCAGGGCACTGTCTTGATTACTTTTCTCTCATTTCTGGGACAAAATACCCAACAGCCAAAATGAAGGAAGGAAAAATTTATTTAGCTCATTGTTTGTGGAGGTTTCAGTCTACAATCAGTTGGCTCCCAAGCAGGGTGTCATGGCACCCGGCAACACTTCAAGACAGCAGCCCCGAAATGCAGCCAAAACAAAAAAAGAAGGTACTGAGAGTAAGTCTCTTTTTCTCCCTTATATTGTATGCAGGCCACGCCCTGCCCCCCAGGGTAGATGTAGCACTCACAAAATCTCTGTGCCCTTCTCTTTCAAGGGATGAAGATATTTACAAAGTAAGGATCCTGGATCCCTGCTGAGTCTCTCAGTTTAAACTTCTAAACCTCTCAAGTTGATCCAGTGTATCAATCATAATGGGCACCCTGGCACATCTCAGAGGAATAGGAGGGTCAGAGAAGGGAATTCACCTGCCCAGGATCACACAGCCAGAAAGGAGGCAGCCGGGCCTGAAGGCAGTTGGGCCTTCTTGTGACTCTCAATTTTTAGGACATTGTCACTTTTAAGTGACCTGGGTCAAAATTTCCATGACAAACTCTCCCTGAGCAACACTCACCAGCTCCATTTGCTGAGATGGAAGCAGGATCCTGAGGTCTTTTGTGCTGGAGCTGCACCCTCTTCTCACCTTTGCACCGCTGTGCTCTGCATGTTGGCGCACCTTTCCCGGCCCTCTCCAGACACACACCCGTCCTAGGCTTTAAGGTTGCCTTTTCTGGGGGACCCACCCTCAGGCCTCTCTGAGCCCTGAATGCCAAGGCTGCTTTGGCTCTGGGTCACTTTCTGGGGTATTTTTAGGCTAACTCTGTCTCTACCTGGATGTTTGGCTCCCCTTGAAACAGGACTAGTTTTTCTTGCTTCATCCTCTCAGATGTGGTGCTGTACATACAGAAAGGCATACGCTCAGTAAACACAAAGACTCACTCATTTGAAAGATAGACAGGGGAACTGGGGATATAGCTCAGTGGCATAAACACCTGCCTGGCAAGTGTGAGGTCCTGAGTTCAATTCCTGGTACAAAAAAATGAATAAATAGATAACTAAAAGATAGGCAGGAAGGGCAGGGATGCAGTATGACATGGGCCTTTTTTTGCCTTTGTAAACTTTCCCCAGCAGCTGGGCTTGCCTATAATCCTATAATGCCTGTAATCCCTGCATTCAGGAGGCTGAGGCAGGAAGATTGCTGTGAGTTTGAGGACAGCCTGGGGTACATAGTGAGTTCAGGGCCAGCCTGAACTGCATAGTGAGACACCGACTCAAAAAACCAAAACAAAAAACAAAGAACTTCCTCCAACAGCCTTCTAGGATGATGTACATCCTTTTATGAAGAGGAAGTTCTTCTTATTGTCTGTTCCCATTCCTTCCTGCTTCATCTTCTGGCCGGGTTTTCAGTACTGTTTGCAGAAGACCTCTGCCTTCTGCTCCCTGCCACCGCTCACAGGAGCACTGGTGGGCCGCGGGTGGGAACAGGAGGAGGGATGCTGTTCTTGGCGAGGACTAGCACTTTCCCCACAGTCAGTGCCAAGCCGTCCCAGGCTTAGAGGGGGTGTGTGTGTGGCGGCACTGGCATCAGAGCATCTGGGAGCTGGCAGCACCAGCCCATGGGCCATCCAGGTAGGGTGGGCCTGTTGGGGGTGCAGCCAGATCCACTTGCCCCCTGTGTGGCCCCCACCCAGGATCCTAGATCCAAACTACTGGAGGCGGGGAGGGCATTTGGGCTCCTTTGACAAACTCTTCCATCAGCAAGCTGGTTATTTGCAGCTTTCGAGCACTCAAGACCTGCTATATTGCTCTGTGCCCCAAGGTGGCTGTTGGGGAAGGCTCAGTGTCCGGGGAGGGGGTCCGCGGGCTCTGGGGGAGTGTTTGTGTGAGCACATGTGTGTAACCCAACATGCCATATGTGCATATGGCAGGAGCTTTTCCAAAGTCTGAAGCAGATGCTAAAATGCATGTAGCCCTGAGAGTTCCCAGTGCTGAGTGTGTATCTCACTGTCTCTCCTACTTGGCGGAGGAGTAAGCAGGCTTGAAGAAGAGGTCAGTGGCTGGGGGGGACTACTCTAGGGGGCCAGGATATCTTCCAGTCTCACTTTAGAAGGACCTTTCCTGACACTGTGCTACTCCCTAAGAGATTATCTGCCCATCCGTGCAGAGTCATCATCGGGAGGAGGCTCCAGGAGAGCTTAGTCCCCCGCAGGCCCAGCTTCAATCAGCTCCTCACTGTCTTTGCATGTCCATTGTTCAGCCCTGGGTACTGAATGCTCTGTGCTCAACTGCGCATTCTTTCCTCCCAGCCTCCCTGCTCCCCTGAGTCCCCGGGTGAGGCCAGGTCCATAGAAGCTCTGGGGCAAGGGAGTTTGGTTGAGCTCTGTGCCCAGCTCGGCAGCTGAACAGCTGTGGAGCCCCAGTCTGCTCACCTGAAATGAGAATGATCCTTCTCTCCTGATGTGCTATGGAGCCAGCAAGAGGTCAGCAGTGAGGCCTGGGTCAGAGCTCAGAGTGTGATCAGTGCCAGGGCTCAGAGTCGGGTGTATTTGCTGTGACCTCTGTGCCCTGTCCCTGCCCCAGGCAGCTACTTGAAGTCCCATGCTACCCCCCTTTTCATCCCTTGGACTTGGAGCTGGCTGCACCAGGCCTTCCTGGCAAGGGCCAGTGGCCCTGCTTCTGAGGTGTAGCTGGGAAATGGATGTGGTGGGGCCTCAGAGAAGGAGCCTGTTTTCCAGCTGCTCCAATCAAAGGCAATTTCTGATGGCCACAACCTGGCTTACATGTTGACCTTGTAAAGTGAGTGGCCCTGGGCCTCTGTTTTTGGTGAGGATCATGGTTTAAGTCCTTGCTAGTCTCTGGGCTCTAATCCCTTCCTTACCTGTCCTCAGGAAACAAGTGGGGTATCCACACTGAGCAACAGTCCTGAGTCCTTTGGGGTGTGAGAGCTGGTGTGACATAGGAATTGACAAGCAAAACCAATTAGAAGGACATCACACTGATGCTGATGACAATGATGATAATTGTTATGATGGTAGTCAGAGTTCCTGCAAGGACCTGCAATAGTGTGACTGTTAGGAGCACACTCACTGAGTCCTCTACTCTACCTGCTCCTGGAGCACACAGTGGAAATCAACAGTGGGGAACAGGGCTAGGATGGGTAGACTCAACTACCCCCATGGGACTACTCCCTTCTTGCTGCTGGAAGGACAGGGCCTCAGAGCCCCTGCCCATAGGCAGGATGTTGGACCAATCTGACTTCACAGGCAGAGTGGGAGGAGCCTAGAGCTTCTTTTGGCCCTTCAACCTCCTTTGACTCAGAACAATGGATTCAGGATTCCGGGCTTCAGTGAAATCACATACCCAAGAATCTGCATGTGAGAATCTCTCAGTGTCGGCAAGAACCTGCGCACCCACTAAGATTAGAACCACTGTATTCAAAGGCTTCCTAAACTTCCGGGGGAAGCAGAAGTCAGAGTGAGGGTAGGCCCAGTGAACTGTTGGGGAACATCTCTGCCCCAGGCCTCACACACCCCTCTGGGGTCAATTTATATCCCCAGCCTGATCTTGATAAGGTTGGAGGGAACTGGAAGGGTCTCTCAACATCTTTAGGGACTCAGCACCAGGTCTTCCCTGTACATCTTTCATTTCTCCAGGGCAAGCCCAGGCACAGAACCTGCCTGGGGCTGGGTAGTACTGCCAAAGGCCATTTCTGGTTAGCAACCCCCAGGTGGCTTTGGAGTCTCAACTTTGTACATTCTGGCCTTGTTAGGAAACTGTGATGAGCACGTGCCCTCTGTAAATGTGACACAAAGTGTGTCCTTGTCTTCCTAAAAGAATACGAAAAAGTCACTCTTCCACACAAGGGCTGGCAACAACTCAGCCAATGTGCTACTGGGATTTTTTCTAGGTGGTGGGAAAGCAAGGGAGTACTAATTTCTTCTTTCCACTGCTCTATATTTATTCATCTACAAGAAATGTCCAGCCCTCAGAACTCAGATTTTATGGTCCCTTGCATATTATGACCACACCTGTACTCTAGCAGCAGAAATGTCTTTTTGAGAAAACTTTCACTCCTACAGTGCAATAGGAAAAGCTGGACCAGCATCCCCTGCAGGCATCACTAATCAATCAGGGCCATTGCTAATCAATCAAGGTCTCAGCAGTTATTACTAATCAATCAGATTTTTGTACCCACTGATCCTGGTGGACACCTCCACACCTGCAGGGAGCTGGTCAAGTGGACCAACACTGCATGCAGTTTGGTCCAACTGGACTTAGTCCAGGCTTCTTAGTTTTCTGATGAGGAGCCCAAAGCCTAAAGAATGAGAATCATCACCCCAGGAGAGCTCAGGGTGAGGGTGTTATCTGCCCCTGCTCCAGTGCTTTTCCTGCTGAGTGCGGGGCTGTGAGTCTTGAGTTCCCTCACCCTTCATCTGAATCCATGAATCAAACCTACTGGCTTGGCAATGGTTAACTACTCAGTTGTCCTGTCCTACCCAGAAGGGCACCTTCTGCAGATCCCCAGCTCCAAAGAACTGTAGCACCAAGGCTTGAGATGGGGCCCTGGGCTACACATGGGCAGTCAAAGTTAGGGTCCCAAAACAGGCGCCTGCTTCCAGCATGCAGTGAGCCCCACAGGACATGCAGTGGAGAAGGTGAGGAGAGAGAGAAAGCAGTCCTGTTTCAGTGCCAGTTCTGGTGGGACAGTCCTGCCCTGGGGACCCAAATCTGACAGAGGAGGCCACGAGAAAATGACTCATGGCAGAATGATGGAGATACTTCAGGATGACAGATCTGGGTCCCAACCCTGGCCCTGTTCCCTCCTACCTGAGGCAAGTCACTTAGCTTTCTGGTGCCTCAGTTTCCCTATGTGTATGAAGACAGCGCTGTGTGGGCTATATATTGAGTAACTGAGAGGATGGGCTGTTTGGGCACTGGCCATGGGCATGTGAATCAGACATGAGAGAGGAGCAGTGTGGGCCCACACCTGCTGGGCATCAGGACCATAGGACATCTCAACCCAATGCAGGTGCCTGCTGTTGGTCTGGAAGGGTGATGTTGAAGGTCTGGGTGTGAGTACGTTTACAAAATTGCTCTGGGCACGAGTATGTTTACAAATCAGGGGTGACGGTCACCAAGGCAGCATGCTGGCATGCTGCCAGAGTGGATGCAGTTCATCAGGCTGCTGGTTTCCCAGTGCCAGACTGGAGATGGGCAGCCACCTGGTCACAAGTGCCCTCCCAGGCTCTCTATTCACCCACTCTGTCTCAGGGACAAACAGGCTTTACTTTATGTGAGGCCTTGTGGATAATTATTTTTCTCTCTGTAAACCTAGTCCAGTTTCAATCCTGTTCAAATACTCGGGGCTGCGCCTGCTCCTCGTCTCCGGACCAGGTTTGTTTAAGGCCCGCCTGACACTTCCTCCTGGTTGCCTTGCCTCGGGCTGTTTACACTGGCGCCTTCAGTGGGACTCCAGGTACAGGAAGGAAGCCCAAAGGGCAGGGCAGCCTTTCCCTGGCCCCAGGCCTCCCTGTCCCTGGCCTGCCACGGATTCACAGGTGAGGTCTCAGAAGTGGCCTAGAGCCTGGAGTAGAGTTGAGGCCTCAGGCCCCCAGGTCTCTGCTGGCAAGGAAGAGGGAGCCCAGCAAAGCTTCTTGGAGGAGGGGATTCTTGAAATGACCGTGCAGATGGAGAAGCAAGTCAGCAGGGAAGGTGCTGGTGTTATCTACAGAGAGTGGCCTAGCACAGTTGGTCTAGGCCCTAGTCAGGCGTGAATTGTGCCTCCAACTCCTGGTTGTGTGTCTGGGTGCCTTACCTAATTACCTGGTGCCTTGATTCTGATTTCCTCAACTCTCAGGCAGGAGGGTAAGTAGATGTATTAACTTCTTAGAATCGTCGCAAGGCTGCTTTATAAGGAAAAAGACGGGGATCGTGGAATGCCAGGCTCAGGGCTTTGGTTCTTCCCTGCAGGTAGTGGGAAGCTGTGGGCGCTGCCTGAGTGGGGCTATAGCTGGACAAAATTTCAAGGCTGCAGCCAGGGCCTAGCTCTGGCCACCCAGAGCCTTTTCTGCATGACTGGGTAGGGAGTTTACACCACTACTGAGTAACCAATCACTGTCTCCCTCCTGGCTAGGGATCTGATGAGGGCTTGGTAAGCCTAGACTGATCTGGGCCAAGGAGAGGTGACCAAAGGATTGGCCATGGGTCTTGTGTTCTCTCCTGTCTCCTGGTAGACAGCAGCCTTTCTGTGACCCTGAGGAGAGCCCATGGAGAATGGGGTGGTAAGAATCTGAGAGGCACATCTGGAGCCAGAGCATCCTGTGTCTGAAACCTACTTTCTGTTATATGAGATCATAAATTTTCTTCCTGTGAAAGCCAGTGGACTCCAAGTTTCTGTCACTTGTTTCCCAAAGTCCCCATTCTGTATATGGCTTTTGAGTATCTCCTAGTGCAAAAGTCTGACTGATCTCTCTGGGCTCATGGCCATTAGCAGTTGCCACACCTATGACCATAGCCTTGCATGTCCCAGCAGCTTCAGGGCCCACAGAGTGTAGCCTTGTACTGTGACCTCAGGCTTGGGCATGATGGTTTCCTGGCTGTCCTGGAGCATGCCAGGCACACACCTGCCTCAGGACCTTTGCATTGCTGTTCCTTACCCAACAGTGCCCTTCCCTTGTGTGATCTGGCTCCCCCTCACCTCAGCCCTAGAGTGGCAAGTGAGTAGGGCACTGTGCTACAACATCATAGCCCCAAATTGTTGGCCAGTCTGGTTCTTGTTCATGCCACAAATCCTTGAAGAACAACAGGGAAGGGGTGGGATTCTTGCCCCTTTGTGGGCCTGCAGTCTCCAGGTGACAGGGGTGCCACCATCACATAGGAGGATCCAGGCACTGTGGTGGCAAGGAGAGGAGAGAGAAGCAGGCACTGCTCTGAATGCTTTGTCCCTGAAGTGCCCTTGTCTTCTGCTTATGTTCCGAAGGCCACAGTCAGTAGTGTGGCCATGTTTGACCTCAGGGGACACCTGGGAGGGCAGCAGCATCTGTCTGCCAGGGCTCCTTAGCCTTCCAGCTCGGGCTTAGTAACCCCCTCCCCTTCACATCAGCATCCTGTTTTCAATCAGGAAACACACATAACACAGAATCAACCGCTTTAAAGTATACAGTTCAGTGACTTCCACAGTGCAGAACCTGCTACCTTTGTCTACTTTCAAAACATTTCTCACACCCTCGAAGGGAGCCCCAAGCTCCTTAGTGCTCACCCTGCTCCTTCTTCCCCTCAGGCCTGGTGACCACCAGTCTGCGTTCTGTCTCAGTGGACTTACCTTTCCTGGACGTGTCATAGAAATGGGACTGTACGGTAGGGGTCCTCAATCTCTGACGTCTTTCCTTGAGCATGAGGTTTTCAAGGTCTTTTCATGCTGCAGCACATGTTGGACCAGAGTGCCTGTGTATGTTGGGACAGGCCATGCAGCTGCAGGGACATCACACATAGTCAGTTTGTCCCCCTGTCCCTCCTCTGATGGCTAGTGGGCATTTAGAATGTTTTTTCACTTTTCAGGGTTGTGTGGTACTGCTTTACATATACACATACAAAGTCACCATATCAGCCATCCTCCAAGGTCACTTGTCCCCGCCTGTCTGAGATCCGGGGAGATGAATGATCATTGCCTGGGCAGGGAGGAACTGATGGAGCCACTGGCATATGCCCATTCCAGCCTGATGGCATCTCCCATTGCCCATTTGCTTGAGACCACCTTGTCCTGCTGCTCTGGGTGTCAGGTGAGTGCACGAGTGGCTGCTGAACAGCAGGGTATGAGGAACACCGAGCTCTGTGCCTCTGCCTCTGTGGACAGCTCCAGATTGCTCCCAGTGTCAGGGGTTCTGGCTTCCTGGAATGAGGTGTCTGTCTGTATGCCCTGGCAGCACATCCCCTACCAGGCCTGGAGTGAGGTGAGGGCCCTGCAGCAAGATGCCGTGTTTGGACTCATACATGGTGGGGCTGGATCAAGCCCGGTCCTCTTGTACCTCGTAAAATAGCTCTGAGGAGAATTCCCCAAAAGGACTTTCAGACACTAGTGCTAGACAGACAGCAGGCAGCTTTCCTCTCTGGGCTCCTCCCAGATCTATCCCAGGAACTCTGTCGGCCTCTGTTACCTCCAGGGACAGGGTGCCCACTGCCCTGCCAGGGCAGAATCTGCTTTTGTCTGCTCTTCATTACATTTGTGGGCAACCCTCTTCACATGTGGGCAGCTCTTGCTGAACTCAACAAATTTCTCCACTAGCCACAACCCAGGTCTGCCCCACCTTTCTTGTAGGGTGACTCCAAGGCATCCCCAACATCCAGGCTGGGCTTCCTGCCCTTCACTCCTCTGTGCTTGGCTCTGGGCATTTCCCACCTCACCTGAGGCTCTGCTGAAAGAGGATAAAGACACAGCAGAAAACGTGTCAGACCCACGATCTGGCACACAGTGTACACCCCTGGTAAGCCTGAGCAGGGCAGGTAGTATTTGAGGCCCCTACCATCTGGGCGTGCTTCACTGAGTGCCCCGCTTTGCTGGTCAAGCCCTTCTACCTGCTCCTGGTGCCTCATGATCTCACTGCCTTTCCTTAGCAGGTACCGTCACCTGTGGGTCTGCCCTTCCTAGTATCTTGCAAGCCCCAAAACAATGCTACTCAGGCCCCATGAGTTTATCACTCCTGTAAGGCACCACCTGTAGGTCTATCATCGCTTGCAAGTGAGGAGCAGGCTCTCTGGGGGCATGTGCCCCAGACAAGACAGCCTCTCCAAGGCTGTCCCTTTGTTAGTCCAGCCAGCTGTATACCAAGTCCTGGTGAATGTATCTAACATCAATATGCAACCCAAATTGCTAAACTAGGCAGACCATTTACATACATTTACACAGAAAGCTCACTCTGTGCTGGGTCAATGGCAGCTTCTCAGGGATGAAGGCTCAGTCCCCAGGAGAAAGCTACCACGGGAAGAAGTCAGCAGCCCCCAGGAGTGCTTAGCAGCCTAGAGGAAGTGGCCAGCTTCCTCCTGGAGGCACACTGAAGGCACATCAGTAGGGGAGCTGGGCTATGGAGAGCCATGCTGCCCTCTGGTGGCCACTGCTCGCAGATGACGAGTTTCCTGTTTGACCTCACTCAATGCATGTAGTCACTGAGTGCCTGCTGCTCAGGACATGGGAGGTGGGACATTGGGTGGCACTTTGGGTCAGTGGAGACAAATACACAAAAGGAGAGGACAAGGGTCTTAGGTCCCAGAGCAGCCTGCTTGCCATGCTGGACTCCCGCAGCCTGGATCCATAGCTGGAGCATCAGGTTTTCTTGACCTATACCTGCCCTTGGTCCAGGCAGCACCCGGGCTGGGGCCCCATGACTTCACTGCAAGGTCTCCTGTCTCATGGCTGCCCTCTGTTCTCCCCATTGTGCTCCCCAAGGGTGCCTGCACACATGCCAGGCACAGAGACATACCCTGGCCCAACAGCTTCCGCTGCTGATTTTTCCCATCCCAGCTCCCTGCAAAACTGTCCACTGCTTTGTTCCAGCAGCAATCCCCTGCTTTGTTCTCCACCTGCCTGAGCTCCAGCCCATACCACTCCCTTGTCACCTTCCTTCAGAGCCTCATCTGCTGAGGGACAGGCAGGAATCAGGGCAGAGTCACCAGAACCTTTACCACTTCCTCATTCTGCCTTCCCCTTCCCCTTCTATCTCTTGTCTCTCCTGCCTCCTCCCCTCAAGTTTAGAGACCTTAATTTAATCTAGGGAGAAGGGAAAAACCTAATCACAAAGATTTTTTGATGTGTATGACCAAATCACAAACCTCCAAATTGCTCGGGTTGAGAACTGTGAGCCTTAAGGTCAGCGCAGAGATCTCCTGGGTGCAGAGTGTCTCTGAGCCCTGTGGAACTGGTGGTCAAAGAGGGTCCAGGAAACTGAAGGACAAGGAAGAAGGGCAAGGAAGAAGGACAGGAATTCTTGCTGCTCCTCTGAGGCTCATATCCTAGGCAATCCTTCCATGCTCAGTGCTAAAGGCAGGACCAGGAGGAAGTTTATGAATGGCATTTCCTAAGCTCCATGGCTGGGCACCGAGCCTGATGCAGACACTCAGGCAGGCTCAAGGATCCTAGGCAGCAGCTCTGCAAAGGCATCATCGTCACTGCACTTTATAGAAAAGAAACATACAATTCAGAGAGGTGAGTGGCTTGCTCAAGGTCACAAAGCTGGGACTCCAATCCATGTGGGGAGGGGGTCTATCATGTGTGTGTTGCAGTGTAGAAGTGTTGGCCCTGGGGGCTTGAGGTGCTGGGGAACAGGGGCTTCTGCCTGTGGGTGGTGAGGCAGAGGGCTGGGAGGAGAGCAGCCCCATACTCACTGCCTGAAGGTTAGGGTGCCCCCACCTCAGCCACTGATCTCTGAAGAGGAGTTTCCCTCCGGCAGGGATCCCCTTCATAGACTTAGTTCTTCCCCACTGAGAAACCCCTGTGGGATTCCCCCATGTCATTCCTGACTTAACTGCCTACCCTGGCCACATACTCCTTCCCAAAACCATAGTCTCTCTGTAATAGCACTGGTGTCTATTGAGCTCTTCCCTTCCCCACAGGTGCTGTACCTCCAACTTCTATTGGGGCACAGTGCCCCTTCCAGTGTGTGTTGCAGCGTTAGCCCATGAGCAGCACTGACACTATCTACTTAGAGCCCCAGAGCCTGGGAAGAGCTTGGAATCAGGCTCTTCCTGCAGTGGAAATGGAGAGAAGACATTGCTTCCCCATGAACAACATTGGTCAGCAGACCTCCAGGATCCCCAGGCACTGAGGATGCTTCTCCCAGGATTATGGTCTCTGGATGATCATGGAGGTGGAGGGGGAGGGCGCGTTGACTGGCTCGTTGACACCCACCAGTAACCAGGCCTGCCCCCAAGGGTGGACAAGGACCACAGTCCTGCTTTGTCCCTCCCCAGCCCTATTCCAGGCCTAGCTGGGCCGTAGGAGGGACAGGAGCTCTTAACTTCTTCAATCGGTCCCCTTTTGGTGGCACTGCATGAAGCCTCAGTCAAGTGTGTGGGCATACAGTCTCAGAGCACGCAGAACCTCGGGTCTCTGCGGGCTCACATGGCTCATGTTCTGTTGCCGAGGAGGCAGGTAACCGGTGAGGGTGAGGAACCAGACCCAGGATGTGGCTGTGCCTCTCTGTACCTTGTTCTTTGTCCAGAACAGGGTGAGCTTTAGTGTCATGTGCCAGCACTCTGTTGTCATTGTCCTTGAATCCTAGCAGATGACACGAGGCTGGGAGGGTGCTTCAGGCAGAATGGGCTACCTAGTGCAGCAATGTCATGCAGTGTGGAGCTGTAGGCCTCCTGTTCAGAAATATCAACAGTGTCCCACAGGGACAGTGAGGCATTAACACACGGCCCTGCCCACTCACACCACAAGGGGGCACCAAGGCAGCATGTCTAGGTCCAGCAGGTCCAGGCTGAGGTCACCAAATGCAGCAGTGGGTGCCAGATGGAGTGAAGGGGCCAAGAAGAGCCAGGAGGATTAAACTGGCAAAAGGTCTCAGCTCAGTCCTCCCAGTTCCCCACTACTTGCTGGAGTCTCAGGAGTCCTGCTGTGACACTGCTCCACTTCCACTCTGGCCTAGGGTTGGACTGAGTAGCTCTTGGGAAGGTCCAACTATGTCTGTGGCCCCCGAAGAGATGGCTGGTCTTGCTTTTGTTCTTGCTTCTTGGCTCATCCCACACCGCAGCCTGGGTGACAGATAGCTATGCACAGCCGTGTGGCCTCTGGCTAGGTAACATGTGCAGTGCACTGCAGCTGGAGGGATGGACTGATATGAGGGGGCACAGCTCCTTGAAGGAGGCATCAGGCTGCAGCCGACTTGTGCCAATTGGTCAGCTGCAACACCAAGTCAGCTTGGAAGAACATCCCAGCCACAGGTGGCTAGCCACAGGTGACAGCCTCTAATGAGACCTGAGGCTGGCACTGCTTGGCTTCACTTCTCGGGACTCCCCATGCTCAGAGAAAAAGTGAATGTCTGTAAACCAATGCATAACTAGTATACAATGAACATTTTCCACCATGACAGCCACACGGTTGCATTATGAAGCATTTAGGAATGGGAGACATGAAGCGCTTTACCCATATTCTTGAAAGACCTTGTTCCTTTCAGCAGTTTCTGTTCCCTGTCCAGGACATTGCTGCCCATGTCTGTCCCCCGATGGTGAAAGCTAATTTTGATTCTGGAAGGACACTCATTATTGATATTTATGGGCACATTCACCACGTCAGGAAGAAACAACTGATCTATTTTTGGTACTGGGAATGGAATCCAGGGCCTATAGCATGTTAGGCAAACAGTCTACCACTGGGGCACACTCCCAGCCCTTTTTAATTTTGAGACAGGGTCACACTGAATTGCTCAGGCTGGCCTTGGATTTGTGATCCTCTGCATCAACCTCCTGAGTAGCTGGAACTACAGGCAGGCATCACAGCATTTGTCCATCCATTCTCACTTGGTCTCACTGGCCCTGTGCAATTGGAGCTATTACAATGATCCCCATTTATGGAGCAGGAAATGGAGCCTGGGACCAAGGTTAAATTGTGTGCCCAGGGGTGGGGCTCAAATGTTGTTGCTCTTGCTATCAGCCTACCCAGAACTCCTGTGGCTGGCTCTTCATGGGCCCCTCCTTTTGGTCATGCTGGGTCTGGGGCCAGGCTGCTGGGCTGGAGGCAGCTTTCTGGAAATCCACTTAGTGCTGACCTTGTGTTTATCCTCCTCCAAGTTCACCTGCTAATCCTACCCACCAAGGCTGTCTGAATTCTCCTGCTGCACTTCCAGGGCCTCCTGTGGGTCATGCTTCCAGGTGTGGCGGGCCCAGGGCTCATGTATGGTGGGTGGGATACTTTCTATAGTATATAATTTTCCCAGGCCAGGTCTGGGTCTGGGATTTGGGAAACCAGGTCCTGATTCCACTTCCACCTTTTCGTCTATCAGCATTACCTCCAAAGCTCCATTTCCCCCCTCTGGAAACAGTGCAGAGCCTCTCTTTTGCCCACTTCTTGCAGAATCCTTTTCCTTCCCTCTGGCCTTGTCCACTCCACTCTGCAGCCAGGAGTGCTGCTTCACTGGGATTGGGTTTCTCTCTCTACTTCACCTTGCTGAGCTCTGTCCCCTAATCTTGGAGAGGTGGTGGCGAGGCTTTCTCCAGAGGGAGGATGTGGACTCAGGGATGGGGTTTCAGTTTGGCAGAGGGTGAACATTCAGGGAATGTCAGAAGGATAGAATCATATCTTGCAATTACAATTCTCTGTGACCCCCAATTGCCTCGGGACACCAGGAACATGGTAATTGAAGGAGACTCCAGCTTTTTGGAGCTCACAGGGAAGGCTAGATACACTGTCCCAGCAGAGTGACTGGAACAGAGAGCCCGAGATTTGGGGCAGGGAAAGGTGAAAGATTAGAAAGCATGTAGGGGGCAAGAAGGGTAGGTGCTGTGCAAGCTAGATTAGGGATTAACAAAAATTAACAGTGAAAATGGACCCCCCATTCCACCATGGAAAGAGATATGAATTTCCCAGCAGGTGCTGAACCCCGAAATGTGCCACAGAGTGTCCTTTCTCTTAGGCCCTCATATTTGGTCACTTACCGCATGTTATAGCTTGTGTTTAGATGTCCCCCCCCCCCCGCCACAATCCTCATGTAGTCATAGGTGGGGATTTTTCAGAGGTGGCTGGATGTACAGCATGTGATTGATTCATGTTGCAATGCTGGGATTAAAGGTGTATGATTACTAAATCAACCCATTGATTGGTTTGGCACTGCCCTAATCCCTATAGCCTAGATAGAGTATAAAAAGGGCAGAAAGATGCTGTTAAGGACCTTTGTTGGTTTTGCTACCTTGTGGGCACCATGAACTATTCTCTGCCCCTTTGTCATGTCACCTGATCTTGGGTCAGCAGATTATGAACTGAAACCTCTACAAACTGTAGCTAAATAAGCCTTTTTCCCTTTAACTTTGGGTATTAGGTACATTGTCTCAGCAACGAGAGAAAAGTAACTAAGACACTGCACAACAGTCCAATAAAATTGAGAGACAAGGGATCAGGCAATGAAGGTAATTATTTGCAAAACTGGTTGCCTAAGCAACTGGAGGACTCTCGCCCAAAGTGCATCATGCTGGAAGCTGACCTAGGATAGTTCATGTAGGCAGGTGACTGGTGTCTTGCAGACTTGAGGCACCTTCTTGGATCAAGTGGGCCAGAAAATGTACAGCCGACCCTAATCACCTAATTATCAGATGCTTTTTAGGTCTATAAATTTGAAGAATAGCAATCATTGTTTTTCTGTCTTATTCTTGTTATTGATTACTTTGCTTGTGCACTATTCTTGTCATTTAGAATTATGCAAGACAGGATCAAGAGCGAGCTTCCCAAGACCCTCCTGCTGATTGCCATGCCAGGTCATAAAAGGAAACACACTTACTGGGGAAGATGAGGATCAGATGAAGTACAAGATCCAGTTTCCATGTTCTGTTTCACTCAAAGTTGAAATGCACCCTGATTTGCCTTAACCTCCCAGTGGACCTCTGCTTGGAGACACCAACAGACAACACAGAAGGCCTCTATCATTTTGATGGCCAGCTTGCTGGGTGATCTTCGAAAGTTGTTTCCTTTCTCTGTGCCTGCTCTTCAAAACTGGAGAAATGGGTTCCCTTCATGAGGCTATCAAACAAGCCAGCATGCTGAGATCTGCAAGGCTGTGCTTTTTACACTACCCCAGCCCTGCCGCCTCTCAGGAAGGAATGGGGACCTCTGGGCACCATCTACCTACCTACCTGTTTGTGAAATAGCGCATGCCTACCGTGTTCTAGGTTGCTGGTCTTGGCTCAGGTGATACATCTGAGGATAACTCACATGAGTTCCCATCTGGATGTGCTTATTGTGTATGTAGCTACTTGGGAACCGTGGAGGCTGGGCTCCCAAGTGGCAGCAGCTGGTGGACATACAACAGGGTAGCCTGGGGGAGGGTGGCCAGAAAATAGCACGGTCTAAGGCAGAAAGAAACTACCTATTGGGAGAACAGCTTGTGGGTATGCACAGCTACTGCACTGAAGCAGCCAGGTGGGAGCTAGCCAGGAGCCTGGGGATAGGTGAAGGTTTCTGGTATTCACCAGCTTCAGGTCCTACAGGATTCTGTGCAAAGAAAACTGGGTGCTCACTTCTGTGGGTCCTTCTAGCCAAATGTGTCCTCCAGGGGCGGAGTAGGCAGAACCAGAGCAGTTGGGTCCTGGGCTGGGGCTGACACAGGGGACAGGGTTAGGGTGGGTATAGCTCCTGAGAGGCTCCTCTGTCTGCAGATCTGCCTTTTTGTCCTTCCCTATCCTATGCACATCACTGCTGGCTTTTCCACTAACATGGACATAGCTTTCCTAGCAAGGGGAGCCTACACCAGTCCATCCAGGAGCACCTCAAAGGGTGGCACGCAGGAGCTCAGTGGTAGGTCCCATCTCTGCTGGCCTCATCATCCTTTAGGGAAGACTCTATGGCACACTCTTGGAAGGGACCCCAACAGTCTCCCAAACTACTTAGCAAAGAAGTAGCCTCAAACACTGACCTGCTTACAGGTCATGAGGCTAGTTGACTGCTGTCTGATAGAGCCATTTCCCCAGCTACCCTTCCCGTGGCAGACAGTCTTAGCTCAAATCGACCTAGGGGGAAACTGAGGACCTGGAAGTTCTGTGAAGTTTTGGCTGTGGTACACTCCACCCGCTCCACCCTTTCATAGGCTCAAGGCTGCTACATTCCAAGGAATGATGATCCATCCAGAACTTGCACCTACCAAGGAGGGGTCACCAGGATATGTGTGCAACCACCTGCTGGAGAGAATGGGGAGCTCCCATTGGGCCGAGACAATGTGACCCGGTGGGCTGGGTGCCAGTGTGCTTATATGGAGCCCACCTCTGATGGGGTGCCCCTGCACAGGCCGGACAGCTCGCTGCCTTTCTCCTCATGCCTCCTCTTCCTGGAGTGACCAGGTACCCTGTGCCCTGCTGTTCCTGCATGAGTAAAGCAGGGTCTGAGCCACAAAGAGGTCTGCTTGTCAGCCCAAGGAAGCAACAGGACAGCCTCTACTGGGTGATCCCTTTCCTGTTTCTACAGGTGCAAAAGACCCCTATCCGCTACTCCAAGTTCATTCTTTGTAAAGTCCGCTAAGAGTCTTGGTCTGCCACTATTCACAGTTTGCTTTCCTCCTCTGTATGGTTTGGGGATGCAGATCCCACAGGTTTCCCCACCACCTGAGGTGTATATGGATGTAGTGGGTGATACGTGAGGCCACTCAGTGGGAACCAGTTCTACTCAGATCTATACTAATGTTGAATCAGGCAAGGCCACCACTCCAGCAGAACCCCCACTGCACAACCAGGTCAACAGCCTTGCACCAGGGGTGCAGGGATTGAGCTAGCAGAGGAGGTTGGTGTCTTCCATCCATGGGGGTACCTCCAGCCTGCACACTGAGAACCTCATCTTTGAGGGCAAAGTGGCTATTTGGAAAAACTGTTTAGGAAAAGAACAGGTTGCCCTGCACAGTTTGGGGATGGTCCTAAAGACCCAGAAGGAGACCAGGCCCTGAATTCACATCTCCTGTGTCTCAGGTAGTTCCTAGGCTACAGCAAACTGAGCCCAGGAACTCTGCTGACACCTCACATAATATGGGCCTTGAGTTAAGTGTTTCCAGGTGAGGGGACACTTGGGTATTGTGTTCCACTAGGAGTCTTGGGGAGATACTATGATAGGGGAACATAGACTCTACACACTCACCTGTCCTTGCATGCTCCACCCTCCCTGTGGCCCAGAGCACCTGGCCTCTGCTGCTTACCTGTCTGCCACCATGGTCAGGTTCCTCTCCAGGCATTGCCTCACATTGGGAGGTCCTCCTTGTGAGGGCTTTTGTTGCTGTGCAGGGCTGCTGGAGTGATGCAGAGTAGTCCTCTTTCCCCACTACCCTGGGCCTCTCTTCACCCACCACCACCAAGTGATCTGCCCTGGGACCCTCCATGCACTGCTCAGAGGGAGCAACTCAGCCAGTGCATGATCCAGAATCCTCCAGATGTGTTGTATGAAGGGGGGTGTTCCTCAGCAGTGGTTGGTGACTGTGGCACAGTCAGCAGTGGTCGCATCATCTGGGCTGTGGGTGTCACTGACCATGGCCATGGTCTGCTTCCACATGACACTTAATATATCTTACCTTACTTCATCCTCAAGAAGAGAATAGAGACCTCTGGGAAGTATGAACATTGTTCAGTCTGCAGCCAGATAGGGCCTTATGAATAGAGTTATGTGTCCATTGTGCCCCTTTCTTGGGGGTGGATCAGTAAATGGGTAAGGCAAGGTCTCTCTAAATGATGGTGGTTCTTTGGAAAGGTAGTGGTGGGGTCTACAGGTGTTGTCCAGTCTGGCCCTAGGCAGCTAGCTGGCTTACCATTCCAGATGGGCAGACTGGCTATGCCCATGGAGCTAGCCACCCCAGTGTACTGTTAGTTCACACTTTGGGAGGGTAGCGGTTGTTGAAAGACTGCAGTAGGGCTGGGGCTACAGGTGGAGGGGTGGGTAGCCACAGAAGGTCTAGCTTGCCTGGGTCACCTTGAACATGCCACCCTCTGAGCTCCAGTGTCCTTACTGTCGTGTGGAACAGAGACAGTATGCTGCTGATGCTGTGGAGTGTGCTGAGCCAATGAGCTGAGGCATGTGTCACTTGCCCCTTGAGAATCCAGAGGACAGTACAGTGTGGGTTGTATGTTCATGGTCTCCCATGAGCCAGGTATCCTGTTGGGTGGCTGGTGGGAAGTCTGGAACTCAGCCTCTCTGATTGTATGGCTTTCCTGGTGAGGAAACCAGGTCCGAGGACTTAGATGGTTCAGGGATAGGCTGTTGTGCTGAGCTGTGACCACTTGACTGCAACTCTGGGGGGCCGGTGTGATAGCTGTGCTTTACAGGTGGGGAAACTGTGGCCCTGTGAATATGACTGCTGGGGTGTGTAGAGCACCTGCTGCATGCCAGGCCACTGTTTGACCTTGTCCTTGTTAACACATGCAATAGCAGGACAGATTGTCTACCTGCTATACCGCAAGAGGCCAGGCTCAGAGAGGCTATGTCACCTCTCAAGGTCATGTGGACTACAGCAAGGGTGGCTCTTGGGAGGCCCCAATGACTCAGATCCCTTTGGGAGATCTGAGGCCCAGAAGTGTTCCTGAGGGGGAAGCTGAGGCGTGGGTGCATGTTTGCTGCAGCCCCTGAAGTGCAGATGGTGGCATGGGCATTGTACACAGAGTCTCCATGTGGGATCATCCAGGTTTTCTGGGATGTTTCCTTGTTGCTAAAAGCAGTGCTTTTCAGGGAGGCTGCTGTGAGATGTTTCCTTTCACTCTGAGGTAGGAGTGAAGGTAGGAAAAAGTCACCCCCAAATTGGATCTGAGTTGGGCCTGGTTCCCCTGTTGCCTGACTCTCTGGCTATGGCACCTCAGCACTCTTTCTGGCCTCTGCTCAGCTCTAGGCTTTACTATGTATCAACTGTGTGGCTGAGGTCTGGATGATCCATGGGGCTGTTCAGGGAAGGAGGAGACCTGCTTGGATAGGCTGTGCTGCAGCCCCTGCTCAGGGCCAGGTGGGGCTGGGGGCAGCAGGGAAGAGGCCTCTGGTCCTACGTGGACAAGAGGTGGGCCAGTGGGCTGGGTGTAGAAGTGGGTCAGAGCTCAGGTGCTCAGCTGGGAGACCTTCAGGGTTTGGCAGAAACTCTGTTCCATGCCTATTGGACCAAGTCAATGGTTGGGCAAATATTCCTGAGTGTTTGGTACAGTTTGAGGTGTACCCCTCCAGGAGGCTCTCACATTCCACAGGGCCCACCAGATGGGAGGTTGGAAGTTCTCTGCACTGTAGCGTGCTATGGCCCCATTCCCTGATTCTCCTTGGGGACTTGGAGGCAGAAGCCATAGAGTGTTCTGGAGCAGGGTGTGTGCATCTGTGTGTGTGTGCGCGTGCGTGTAGCACAGCCCGTGAGAATCAGATTCCCCTGGTCTGTAGGTGGAGCTCGTGTCCAGGTGCCTTAACACTCTCTGAGCAAGAAAATGGGAGTTGGCACTGAGGCTCCTGCTGGCTGCTTGCCTCAGTCTGCCTAGTAGCTAGGGTTAGGGGCCCACAGGATGCTTCAGTAAAATATGTGATAAGTCATTGGCCAAGAAGCCCTTCTCTTAGGCTCAGTTTCTCTGTCTGTAGAGTACGGTGTAGAGTAGCATCTCCATCTTCCTCATCCTGCCCCTCCTGGGAGCTGTGGAGTCTGTTCCCATGGCCCCGGGAACCCAGAGACCCTGATCCAGGGCTGGCCCAGCTGGAGGAGGCAGGCAGGAGGAGAGTGGGCCTGCCCTGTCCCCTTCCCACGGGACTGGGGCTCCCGGTTGTGCTCCGCCCCAGGGCCCTCCTCTGACTCAGGCTTCCTGGAAGAGTTCTCAGCTGGGTTTGGAGGATTCCCTACAACCCTGCCCAGAGTCCCTGCCTATCTGCCCCCATTCATCGCTGTCTCTGCTGCTGCACATAGTGGGCTTCACTTTGCCCCCAGCTCAGAGAGGACACCACCTGCCCCTGGAACCCGCCCCCAGCCTCATTCACGGGGGCCAAGAACACTGACTCCCACCTCTCCCTCTGCCTTGACTAAGGCCCCTGCCAAGGCAAACATTTCTCCCCTTTAATCTCCCTGCCTGGGGTCAGTGCTGAGGTCCTTACTTCTGGGCTCTGCTTCTCTCTGGCCAGCTGCCCAGAGGCCATCTTCTGGGAATTGCCGGGCAGAGCTCAGGGGGTGCCCAGAGTACCCGGATCTCCTAGCTGCCCCTCCCCACAGTGACCTCCCCTGTCTTCCCTGCTGGCCCC